ATGTGGGCCGTCGAAGGCTCGGCCTTGGCCTTGTCAGGGAGTGAGCTCTGACCACCACGCTGGCGGTCACACAAGAAGCACAGAGTGCCGGGATGCAGGACACCGGGGCCCGTGGCACCAGCCCACCTCAGCCCCACGTGACTCAGGCTGGGCCCTGGTCAGCCCTCTGCCTGTTGTCCTCTGGCCTCTCTGTATTGATGGGTGGCTAACAAGCTTCCCCTCCTTGTCAGATCCAATCAGCTTCTGTCACTTTCCCGAGCAGCTGAACCCGCAGGGAAGCCACACTGGGTCATCAGGGAGTGGGTGTGTGAGGACCAGGGCGGCAGGCAGGTCTCACCTGCCTCGGAACAGGGAGAAGAGGGCAAGGTCCAGGGCCCGGGGAGGGTTTGGGGGGCCAGAGGTGGTGAGGATGTGGGAGAAAGGCAAAGGGCTCAGACAGGAGGAATACCAGCGAGGCATCTTCCTCCCAGAGTGCCAAGGGATGCCTCTGACAAGGGGTCACACCTGATTCTTGAAGAGGGTGATTCTTGTATGCAGGGAAGTCAAGGGCCTATAGCAGTTACCTGCTGGTGCTTAATGAACTACTCCAAAACTTAGCGGCTTAAAACAGTCACTGTGGGTCAGGAAGTCAGAGCCCATCTGGCTGCACATTCCTGACACAGGGCCTCTTGTGAGGTTACAGTTGGTTTCAGCCGGGCCTGAGGTCATCTGAAGGCTTGAGTGGGGCTGCAGGACCCATTTCCACTGTGGCCCATTCACCTGGCTGACATGTCAGTGATGGCCCTTGGCTGGAGGCCTTGGCTCCTTCCACATGGACCTCTCTGTTGGGGTGCTTGAGTGTCCACATGGCATGGCCATTGGCTTTCCCAGAATGACCCAAGGGGTCAAGGCAGAAGAAGCCATTTGCCACCATCCCATCATATACACTGTGGATCAAGGGTGTGGGTGCCAGGAGGTGGGGATCACTGAGGACCATCTTGGAGGCTGCTTACCAGGGCCCCTATGGCAGAGGAGGTAGGAGATGGACTATAAGATTTATCCAGAGAGCTCCTTCTATGCCTCTGCCTACTTTAGGACAATGTGAGCCTTTAGCCTTTCCAGTGAGCTGAGCTCAAGCCCTGTGATTATGATCTTTCCCCCACAAACTCCAGTCCTGGCTCCTTCCCTCCCAAATCTCATTAGTCTATGTTCCTCTGCCTCAACCTCCCCCCACTACCACCATCTGATTCTGCTTTTCTCTCCTGTCCTAACTCCCATTCCCGTAACCTTGTCTCCTCACCTCCACAGCTAAAAGCTTACCAGGCAGACAGGCTGGGGAGCTTACATTCTCTTTCTCTCTCTCTCTTCTGACCTGAGGCTCAAGAGCCCGCATCCCTGAGCCACACTGGGATGGAACAGGAGGGCATAGCTGTGCTTCCTGTCTATAGGGACAGCAGACACAAGGGACCCAACCAGAAGTTAAGAGTCTGTCTTCAGGTGGCCTCTACCTGAAGGATGGGTTTGGGAGGTGAGCTGGAGGTGAAGGCCAGGCAGTTCTTGGAGGCCCCAAAGCAGCGCCAGCCCCCTCTTATGGGGCTCTGCATGGAGTGTGGTGGGGGAAGCTAAAAAAGTCGGGTGCCAGGCTAGATGGGGGAGCAGTTTCCCTTCACCCTTCTGGCCTGACGCACATAGACCACTGCCTGCAAATGGTAAGTCCACACACCAGGGGGCAGAGACTCCAGTGTCAGCAGAGTTCAAGGCTTCTTCAGCTCCTAGAGCTCTCCCAGCTCAGGGGGATGGGCTGGAGGGGACTGAGCACACCTGAGCCCACCCCTCAGCTCCCACACAGGGCAGCTCTCCGGACTATCAGACGAGATGGGATGGGGAGGGGCCGGGCGCAGGCCGGCACCAAAGCCCAGCGAGCAAGGGGGACATACGGGGAAAACAAAGTGAGCGGCCGGGGATGGCAAACCCCAAGACTCCAGCAGCTGTGGGGGTTGAGCTCCGCTGAGAAGCCCAGCCTCGTGTGGGGAGGGGGTTCCCAGAAGGAACCCGGGGTGCCCAGAAAGCGGGGAAGGTCTTAGCCTCACAAAGTGGAGGAGTGCCAGTCAGGTAGAGATGCTTTTGCCTAAAATAAAGGGCAGGATGGTTTCTAGGCACATCTGGATGCACTGGTGGGTGTGGGAGGCAGCAGAGGTCCCAAACTTCAGAAAATCCAGCCTCATTCTGTTTGGTTTTAGAGTCCACTCTACCCCGGGGGCTGCTGTGTCCTGATATTTCATTTTTTTTCTTTTTTTATTTGTCATTTGAGAGAGAGAGAGTGGCGGGGGGTGGTGGGAGGCAGAGAAAGAGAGAGAGAGAATCTTAAGCAGGCTCCATGCTGAGGGCGGAGTCAGATGCAGGACTCAGTCTCACAACCATGGGATCATGACCTGAGCCAAAATTAAGAGTCAGACATTCAACTGACTGAACCACCCATGTGCCCTATAACACTTTATATCTAACTCTGAAGTCAAACTTAGTCCCCCCCTTTCTTTGAGAAAGGGGAGAGCCTAGGTGGGAGGGGGAGCTGACCAGGATTAATAAATTGCGTCAGAGGGTCTACAGAAATTCCCACATGAACAAGCCATGAACCACCCCCCTTCTAGGCACTGGGACCACCTGAGACCACTTGCCTTTGGTCCCCTGTCCTGCTCAAGGAAGGGTTCTGGTACCCTCCTCACCCCCGCACAGAGTTATCCATTCTTCCCCCAGGGCACAGGTTATGTGAGAAGGTCAGGTGTGAGTAATAGGGACCGGGAGAACCTGTGGCAAACTGGACAGTGCTTGGAAGCCTTCACCTTCAAGAGTTGTTCTTTAAATATCATACTGGCCAAATAAATCCTAGTTGCCAGATCAGGCCACCAGTTTAAAACTCAAACAGCCTAGATGAGAGGGAATCAGACCCCAGGTTATAACCCTGCATCTCTTCTTTATGCATATATGTGCATGTATACACACACACACACACACACACACACACACACACACACACACACACACTCCTGGAGTAAATTGCTCTGGACACTTTAAAGAGTCAAATTGTTGGAGCACCTGGGTAGCTCAGTCGGTTGAACGTCCAACTGGGTTTCAGCTCTGGTCATGATCTCACAGTTTGTGAGATCAAGCCCCGAGGCACGGAGCCTGTTTGGGATTCTCCCTATCTCCCTCTCTCTCCGCCCCTCCCCCATTCCATGTGTGCTTGCTAGCTCTCTCTCTCTCCCTCTCTCTCTCTCAATAAATAAACTTAAAAACAAAGAGTCATATTGTTATTCATTGCCCATGTTGTGGGCCCAATGAGAGATCTCCCATAAGCTATGAAGTTGGGCTGAGGTCCCTTTTCCTGACTCAGTGTTCCCTTGGACCCAACCCACCCCACCAAGGCCCTCTGTGACCCCCCCCCACCTCCCCACCACGGACCACAGAGGCTCAATCCTGGGTGCCAGGGTGGAAGAGGCAGTCAGAGAGGGGAATGGTTGCAGACATGCTGTCTCCAGTGGGGCCCTTGATCCAGAGCAGAGACCTTCCTGGACAGGGGAGCTTAATGCCAGGGAACCCAGAGCAGCTGAGAGTCCCGAGGAGTTTATGTGAAGAGAGGAAAGTTGGGAGAGGGCACTGGTGTCTGCAAATAGTCTGGAGACATAGAAGCCAAGGCTCAGAGCCCCATAAGCTGGGGAGAGCTGGGGGGGGGGGGGCGGGCGGGGCGCCAGAGTCCAGAACAGGGCAACCACCAGCAATAGAAAAGAGAAGCCTGGCCATCCTCAGCACCCCACACACCCTTGCAGCTGGGCAGCTCCAAAGCAAGCTGACTGTACTGGGGAGCCCTGCTTGGGCCATGGAGGAGGGTATAGGGAGTATCTAGTTTCCAGAGAGCGAGAGCTTACACAGGGGAGAAATGCTCAGGCAGCCAGCCTGAGGACACTTTCTCCCTACCTGTAAGCGGAGTTCCAGAGGCAGAGGCGGGGCCAGGGGAGGCTGCACTGCTCGCATCCGCCACCAGGCTGCAGCAAAAAGCCCCTCACCTGCCCCACAGGTCTCCAGCGTTATACAGGAGAGCAACCCAGCTGATGGCAGTTTCTCTATCGCTTTCTCCTGGACATTCTTCTTCACCCACTAACTAGTCCAACAAAAGTGAGCACAGACGTGCAGAACAGTCAAAGGGAGGCAGAACCCAGGGGTTTGGACATCTGCAAATGCCCAGTGTGCCAAGGTACTTGTTCTCCCAAGCAGGGAAGCCCTAACAGACCCGGATGAAGGATGCCAGGTATTCTGAGGATGGAATTCACCCTGGCTGGACCATGGCTTTTTACTGTCACTAAGCAGTGGCTCTGGGTGACATCTATCTATGCATCATTGCAGGTGGCTATCTATACAGGTAGCCTCCCTTCTTCCATCTCCGAGGTCCTGCCCCAGAAAACTCCCCTGAAGTGGCCTGCCCCACCCCTTTTCTTTCTCCTCCCTTGCCTTTGGGTGGACCTAGCATAATCCGATAGAGACATGGGGAAAGGAGCATCCCAAACACAACACCTCTCTCTCTGAGGGAGACCAGGGGTCTTTCAGGCTCCAAGGAATCTGCAGGGGGAGAGATGGAAAATGGTGGAAACAAAAGGCTCCAGAGAGGAAATCTGGTCCGATGAGTATGGGATGGCAGAGAAAATGCCACGGTAGGGATGCCAATCTGGGGCGAGCTAGTCATCCCTCTATAGAGGGGACCACTCTCCCCGCCAGCCCAAGACAGCGTAACTAAACATAAATGGGGCGAGCCAGAGAAGACCAGCACACGGAAGCAGGTGATCCATATATGCTTATTAACTAATTCAGGAGGGTATAATGGGAAAGAACACAGGCCTGAGAACAAGAACACCAGGTTTTAGGCACATCTCTGGCCCTGAGGAGCCAGAACTTGAAAGAGTCACTTTCTCTTTGGTCCTCAGTTTCCTCATTCGTGAAGTCAGGAGGTTGGACAAAAGCACAGTGGCAAGTGGAGTGGCCCGGAGCACTGTATTTGAAAGGACTGTGAGGTGGGAAAGACTCCATTAGTAATGTCTGTCTTGGGCATAGGAAAGTACAGACACCCTCGCCATGTATTTGCTCAGTCTAGGGATCATCTCTAAGTTCCTTCCATGCCAATGCTCCATGGATTGAGGACAACATTGCAGGAAGTGTGTGGAATCAGGGCTGGATCTAGGGACACCTTAAGACAATGATGGCTTGTGAAGGCTTGCCTCCTGGTTATTTCTCTAGTTCTTTCCCCACGGACTCCGGAATACTAAGCCTAGTGAAGGACTCCCTCTAATGGAATGTCAGAATCCAATACGGTGTGTTCGATGTCACTTCCAACATGGCGTGTTCCAGCGGACTCCCTAAGACAAAGCCCGATACGAAGTCCCATCCGTGCTACCCTCCCAAATATAGCAAGCTGCGACATCCCCAGATACAGGAACGTCCCTACGGTGGGAGCACCCACACAGTGTAATGTGTTCGAAGCAGATGGTGGACTCAAAAAAGACCACCCTCCTTTATAAATAAGAAGGTGTGTTCCAACTGCATGGCATGGTGCAGCGGGACCGCCTCTAGCCCACCAGAAGGAGCTGCCCCCGCTGAGGAGGGAGCAGCGTGGCTTCTGGCTGGGGGTGCACATGAACACCACAGAGGTTCTCAGCAGGACTGTGGGAAGGGACAGAGGCATAGGCTGTCCACGGCAGTGACCCTGACAGAGGTGCCTGGCTCAATGGCCACCTGGCTGCTGGCCACATCCTACAAGTGGGTCTCCTTCTCCCCGACGATTAGTCCTTCCTTTGTTGGAGAAGGCCTGCAGTCCTGGCCGTTACCACCATCCAGATACAGGTGTTGCTTAGGCTGCGGCAGGCTGGGGTCGGGGGTGGTGAGCTGCTGCAGGCGCTGTGGAGAGAAGAAGGAACAAATGGGTGCTACCAGTGAGAAGGGCAAAGATGTTCCAGCCTGTTTGTATCCCCGGGGCCAGGCACAGAGCCAGGCACATTGAGGGCAGTCAGTACGATATGAGTAAATACATGAATAAATATTTTTTTAATATTTTTATTTATTTCTAGGAGAGAGAGAGAGAGAGAGAGAGACAGCATGAGCAGGGGAGGGTCAGAGAGAGAGAGATACAGACTCCGAAATAGGCTCCAGGCTCTGAGCTGTCAGCACAGAGCCGGACACGGGGCTCAAACCCACGAACCGTGAGATCATGACCTAAGCGAAAGCCGGACGCTTAACCAGCTAAGCCACCCAGGCGCCCCCATGAATAAATATTTTGAGAAGAGAAAAGAGACAATCCCGTGGTGATTAAGAGCATGAATGGGCTGGGTTCCAGTCCTGGCTCTGTTACTGACTACCTATGCAATTTTAGGCAACCCATTTAACCCCTCTGCGCCTTATCTGTAAAACGAAGATAATAATAGTACACAGCTCTAAGAACAGTGCCTGGCACAGGGTCAGTGGATCAATAAGTGCCTATTTTTGTTCTTCTTCTTATTACCATTAGCATGTGACCGGGGTGCCTGAGTGGCTCAGTCAGTTAAGTGTCTTACTCTTGGTTTCAGCTCAGATCATGATCTCACAGTTCTTGAGTCCAAGCCCTGCATCAGGCTCTGTGCTGCCAGCATGGAGCCTGCTTGGGATTCTGTCTCCCTGTCTCTCTGCCCCTCCCCTGCCCACTCGCTCTCTCTCAAAATAAATAAATAAACCTTAAAAAAAAAAAAAAAAAAAAGGAGGGGCGCCTGGGTGGCTTAGTCGGTTAAGTGTCCGACTTTCGCTTAGGTCATGATCTCGCGGTTCGTGGGTTCGAGCCCCGCGTCGGGCTCTGTGCTGACTGCCAGCTCAGAGCCTGGAGGCTGTTTCGGAGTCTGTATCTCTCTCTCTCTGACCCTCCCCTGCTCACGCTGTCTCTCTCTCTCTCTCTCTCTCCTAGAAATAAATAAAACATTAAAAAAAAACAACAACTAAAAAAAAAAGGAATGTAATCAATAAGTGCCTATAATTTTTTATGAGTAGCAGGAATACTATTATTACTGTTACTGGAGCCATCTCCTCCCCCACCTTCTTGCCTTGAATGCAGATGTGATGACTGGAATCATGACAACCTTCTTGTGACTATGAAGTGGTAAGCATGATAATAAAAAGACATGCTCAGGACGGAGGTGCAGAAATATAGGAACAGTTTGGTCCCTAACAGCCTCTTTAAGCAGCTGAACCAAGCACCAGCAGCACCCATCTCTGATCTCTTAATGTTAAAAAGAAAATAAGCCTATTTGCTTATTGCAGGTTGGGTTTTCTGTTACTTGTAGGCCAGATAGATTTCTACAAGTGCAATGTCTTTGTGGAACATGCTGTATCCCTCCCAGGAAGGCATGTCTTAAACTCCAAACAGGGAGCCTTTGGCTCATGGTTCCCCAGGCAGAATTAAGAAAAGAAGTCAGGAGACTATGTATGGAATGAACCAGGATAGCTGGTTATTAATTTCCTGGGAGTAAGGAATCTGTGCCGTATACATCTCTGTGTCTGGGCACCTTTAAGTTCTTATTGTGGCTCAGTTTCCTCCCTAAGCCTTTGACAGTGTTACCTTGGTCAACCTGTCCACATAATGTGCTGGAGGTCAGATTCTGAAGGTCTAGGACTCTAAGTCTTTTGAGTGTTTCTGAAAATGAAGCCATCGAACTGGTCTTCAAAGACCCTTTTCTTGGGGCATCTGGGTGGTTCAGTAGGTTAAGCGGCCGACTTCGGCTCAGGTCACGATCTCACGGTTCGTGGGTTCGAGTCCTGCATCGGGCTCTCTGCTGACAGCCAGCTGAGAGCCTGGAGCCTGTTTCTTTCAAGCCCTTTTCTTCAAGATTCCATCAGATCGAAGAGCTGCCCCACACTCAGAGCTGGGCTCCGCCCATGGTGCCCTGCCTGTAATCTCGCTCAGCAACCCCCATTAATGTATCACTTGCCTCGGCCCCTACCTTCTTGAAGGAACCCTGGGTCTTCAGAAGGGTGATGATGATGAACAGAGGGACGCAGACCATGGACGACAGAGCCAAGAACCAGCCGATGGAGTAGCCCCAAGGAGGATACACATATATGTTGTTGTATTTGAGAGGTGTGTACTTGCTCAAGGAAAAGAGGAAGGTGGCCTAGAAAGAGGGAAAGGTGGATGCAGATGAGACAGAGAGCCCTTGAAATCCTCTTTTCAGCTGCTTAAATATCCAGTGGCAGAGGACAAGTAAAATACACTGGGCTGGGGGCGCCTGGGTGGCTCAGGTGGTTAAGCATCCAACTCTTGAGTTCAGCTCAGGTCATGATCTCACAGTCCTAAGATCAAGGCCCGCATTGGGCTCAGCACAGAGCACCAAGCAGGCTCCTCTCTCTCTCTCTCAATAAATAAATCAACTTAAAAGAATAAATAGATAAATGAATACACTGGAGTGCCTCACTGAGGTAGAATAGTAAAAGCCGTTACAAGCTGTGAGCATCACTCACATGGGGGGGGGGCTAAGACAGGAGGATATAAGGGAGCGAGGTGGGCGGGGGAGCCCTGAGCAGGCAGACAGAAAGAGACCACTAACTGGGAGGTCTGGTGACCGGCTGGGGGGGCTATGAGAAAGGAAGGGAGCAGGAACTGGAAGGTAGGGATGGTAAAGCGGACAGATAAGATGGTCCCAGGAAGGAAGGGCAGGAGAACCAACCCAGAGGAGGAGATGGACCAGCCTCCCAAGGTAACTGACCAGGCAGGAAAGGAGCCCCAGAACCCAGGGATCCCATTCCTTGTCCCGGAGTCTTCTGGATGCAAGAGAAGACATAGAGGTAGCTGAGTGGACACGTACCAGGCAAAGTCCAGGGGTCAGAAAGAGCCAGGAGATCTTCACCAAGGGCCATGGCCGGTAGCCAATCATGTCTTCAACGTTGTCATAGAAACGATCTGCCCCTGCCCAGGTGGAAGGGGAGTGTGAGAACAGGAGGGAGGGAAGAGCTCATAGGTATCTGGGAAGGACTCACCTGGCTTTGCGCTCTTCCCCCTGCCCTGTGAGGGGAAACTGGATCAGGGCACATGAGTGAGATGGGTCCCTGGGACCCCAACCACAAGGCAGGGAGCGAGGAGGAAGGGGCTGCCACCAAAAAGGTGGGTGCCCTGGAGAGAGTCGCCTAACCTCCCAGTGCAATCCTTTGGCCCTTTGTCTAGGAATGAAGACCCTACTGCCAACCACAGAGGAGGGCATGAGCTGACAATGGGCACAATGACTACACAAATGCTCCCTTATGTAGGCCACAGACATGACTTCAGTTTCAAGTCAAAACAGCAAGGGTCCCACTGTTCGAGCACAGCGTGCTGAACTCACCCAGGGCTGGAAAGCCTCTGGGAACGGAACAACAGTCTAGATTCTACGCTCTGGAAGGAGCCACTCAGAAAATCGCAGTAAGAGGCTCGCTTTGTGTTTGTGGAAACACTGATTGGATTTGCTTACTGTCCTTCCATTTCCACGTTTGCTCCAGATCCAGGCCCAGACAGTCTTCCAAGGAAACGACCACTGACTGAGAAAGGCAGTTGGAGGGCCCTTGCCCTTCCTCAGCAAAAAAGGAACTTCCCACTGATCACTGACATGCATGAAATGACACCATTAAGGAGTCATTCCTTTGGCTTCCAAAGTTTTCCCCCAGTTAAAAACCAGGTGCTGCTGGGAAGGTGTAACATATTAAGGTTTCTCAGCTATTTACACCTCACTGTGATTGAGTTTATCGGATCCTCTTTAAGAACAAGTTTTGAGGAGCAGAAGGGGAAAATCAGAAAGACATCAGATGCTTGGAGTGAGAAGATAGGAAACCTGTCCAAGGAGAGGAAAGGACACCAAATAGGCCTAAGACAGCAAAATAAAAACCTTCCCATGCCCACTATGTGGCACCCACCTACCCTCTCTGCCCTGCACCTTATTACACTAGCAGTGTGTTCTCCCGAACACCGCGATGGTGCCTCCTCCACTTACTGTGTGAGCTGAGGCAGGAGACCTACCTCTCTGAGCCTCACCTCCCCCTGCACAGGGCTGTTGTGTGGGTTGAGGGATAGCATAGGATATAATCATCACATTGCTTGGCTCAGTGGTGCACGGACTCACATGCATACAGGTTTCCCTCTTTCATTATCAGGCCCCAGAATGGCATGCATGTTACAGCACTCAGCACCACTGGCCAGCTACCCCAGCACTGAGGGGGGCTCAGGGGTGTTGACGGAAGTCATTGGAAGGCAGAATTCACCTCAGTGTAAGAAAGAAATGCGCAACAGCCTCAATAAACAAAGCTACCTCAAAGACATGGGAACGGGGGCGCCTGGGTGGCTTAGTCGGTTGAGCGTCCGACTTTCGCTTGGGTCATGATCTCGCGGTTCATGGGCTCGAGCCCCGCGTCGGGCTCTGTGCTGACTGCCAGCTCAGAGCCTGGAGCCTGTTTCAGTCTGTGACTCCCTCTCTCTCTGACCCTCCCCTGATCATGCTGTCTCTCTCTCTCTCTCTCCTAGAAATAAATAAAACATTAAAAAAAAAAAAAACACTTAAAAGCATATTTAAAAAAAAAAGACATGGGAACGAGATTCCTTTTTATGGAAGTATTCGAGCAAGGTGTGGGTGAGAACCTAGAAAAGCAGTGTGGGAATGTGTGGAGGCTCAGCCTATGTGGCCCTGACGGCCTCTTCCGACTAGGATTCCCACTGGCCAAGTGTCTCCAGCAGTTTCTGTACCAAGAAAGCGGCACACTGTTGTTTCTAATTCCTCTCGCTGTTGCGGGAAATCAGTTGTGCCCTTACCCCGGCTCTATCTGCCACAATGAGAAATGCCTGGGTTCCCAATGGTGACACACTTCCCAGTGACAAGAACCAGGGCAGCAAAGATGCAAAGGTCTGTAGAAACCAGAGGGCCAGCGCAGCCCACCTCTCATCCAGGGCAGACCACGCCCTTGGGGGGTGGGACCCACAGGCCCCCTCCTTCTCCCCCCTCCACTTACCATACACCCAGCTGATGCAGATTACTTCAAACACCGCCAGGAAGAGCAGGCATATCCCACTGGAGGCGTAGTGATCAAACAGCTGGAAGATATACATCCCGCCCTGCAGAGATGCGAGCGGAGCTGGGGCCTTGGCCAGTGGGGGCAGGGGGTCCCTCCTCGGCGACAGGGCACACAAGCATCGGGGCACACGTCCTGCTCAGCCCACAGGAAGTTGCTCCTTGCATCTGAAGGCACTTTGCCTTGCCTGCCCTTGCCTTTAAGCTCCTCATTTAACATCGGGACAACACTCTGACAGCTGCGGGGACACTGGAGAAGTGTCTGCTTGGCACCATGCCTCCTAGAAGCTGGCCCCTCCTTACTCTGGGAGTGCTCCCTTCCTCGCTCCAGGCCTGAAGGAGAGCCAGGGCTGGACACTTACCGTGTTCTTAGGAAAAGGTCCCTCTCATTCTTCTGGGGTTGGGTAGGTGGCAGAAGGTAAGCCTGAAGCTGCACCCGCCTTCTTTAATATCAGGAGGGAAACCTGGCTAAGAAGGGCATTCCTGACAATGTCATTAGAGCAGCTGGATCCAACCATGCCTGAAACCAAATATCCCTAGACTTTCCAGTTTCCCGCCCCCCCGCCCCCAAAACTCCCCTTTCTGCTTAAGTTAGCTTGTTTTTGGTGTCTGTCACTCACCCGACACCAAAAGACAGCTAACTAACAGGGTAGGTTCTGCTTCGTGGTCCCTAACACCTTGCCGCGGTGTAGGTGTGGCTCTGAGAAGGGTCATCAGCGTGCCCCACGGCTCCCTCACCTTAGAGCCTCTAGGCCACCGCCCTCTGCTTACCTCCGTGACCAGGAAGAGCCCTAGCAGGTAGCAGACAACGGCAATGGTGAGAATGAGGAGCTCTCGCCGCCCGCCCTTCCGGAGCTGACTGGGGAACATGTCCACGGAGGCTGTCACCAGGCACTCCACGCAGACAAACTGCAGGCAGGGGGGAAGCCAGATGAGAGGAACTGCATGCTCTCGGGCCTTCCATGGCGTGGCCTTGCCCTGGCCGCCTCGTGCCCCACTCACCCCTGCTGATGCACAGGAGCACAGAAACGGGGTGGCCCGCCCTGCCCTTGGCCGCATCTCTACGACCCAGGGTCCCAGCAGCGAGGCTTGGAGGGGGAATTATGTCCTGTCCCCAAGGCTGGGGGGCGGCGAGGCTGGGCAGCTTGGGCTAAATGGCTGGAAGGAGGCTGGATGGACATTTGGGAGGGGTGTCCTTGTACGGGGAAGGGTTGGGCTGGGGGGGGTACAAAGGAGGTGGCCCCCTCACAGACAAGGGTCTTGAGGCCATGGGTCACCCGACCAACTGCGAGAACAACCCCAGAAAGCGGAGGGGGGCTTGAAATGCAGGTCAGGGGGAAAGGCGTTGGGGGAAAGGTAATGCCCAGAATAGCAGAAGCTGGCCAGAGGGTCACCAGGGCAGGGAGGGTTGGGGTGGGGTGACGCACCTGGCTGTCCAGCCCTAGGAAGATGAGCATGATGAAGAACAGGCAGGACCACAGCTGGGATAAGGGCATCATAGTCACCGCCTTGGGGAACGCGATGAAGGCCAGACCCGGACCTGCCAGGCACAGGGCACAGTCAGGAGAGCTCTGGGCTCTCATTGCCCCAGGGAAGAGCCTTCCCGAAGGCACTGTGTGTGTGTGTGTGTGTGTGTGTGTGTGTGTGTGTGTGTAGGGGGCGGGGTGGGAGGAACGTGTAGGGGAGTGGTTCAAAAGATCAGGGTGGTTTCACCCCTTACTCTGCTCTCTGGTTCTGGGGAGCTGGCCATGCGCTGGTTCATCCACTTATCCATCCCTGCAGGCACGTATGGGGCTGCAGGTCCTCAGTGCCCTCTCCCCCCCTCCCCCCCCCCATGGTTAAGAAGGCCCAAGCACAGTCCCCAGATGCAAAAGGTTCTTATTAGCCAGCTCCTGGGACCCCCCCGCCTGGGACCCTGTAGGAGGGATCTGTGTTCCCTGATCCCCCTCCCCCTCAGGGCCCAGACAGCAAAGTGGTACCTACCAGACTCAGCCACTTGGGAGATGGGCATCCCCTGCTCCTGGGCCATGAAGCCCAGGATGGAGAAGACCACGAACCCGGCCACGAAGCTGGTGGCACTGTTGAGGAAGCAGAGGGCGATGCAGTCCCTGCGGGGCGGGGCCGATGCAGAGGGAACAGGAAGGAAAACGTGGAAGAAATCCATCCAGGGAGGAGAGATCCCAAGACAGTAAGGGGTGGGGGACGGGAAGGCAAAGATGCAGGAGAGAAGCGGTAGAGGGAATGGGCGGAAGACGAAGGTCATGTGCCGGACGGTGAGAGAGGAGCGTGAGGAAGAAAGAGGAGGAGGGAAGAAGGACACTGAGTCAGCGGCCCGGTGAAGCGGATTCCCGCGCTGCGCCGCAGGCGGGTCTGGCGCCCGGTCCCGGAGCTTGGCCCGCACCCCTGCGCCGCCCGCACCCCTGCGCCGCCCCCGCCCCTGCGGCGCCCGGCCCTACCTGTAGCAGTTGTTGTGGTACTTGTTGTAGCTGCCCAGGGCTGTCAGGCACCCCTGGCAGATGGCGAAGGAGAAGAAGATCTGGGTGCCCGCGTCCATCCACACCTACGTGAGACCCCAAGAAAGTGGCAGGAGGAGCGGAGGGCACCAGCCGGCCCCCTGGGTGTGCCCCCGGAGTCACTTATTGGCCACCCTCTGCTCTCAATCTCTTCACCAGCAGGCCCGGTTATTTGCTGGGTTGGGGGTGGGGGTGGGGGTGGGGGTGGGGGAGGCGGGGCTCCTGGGTGGCTCAGGTCATGATCTCCCTGTGCGTGCGTGAGTTCGAGCCCCCCAGCCCCCCGCGGGGCTCCGGGCTGAAAGCTGAGAGCCTGGAGCCTGCTTCAGATTCTGTGTCTCCCTCTCTCTCTGCTCCCCCCCGAAAATAATTAAACATTTAAAAATTAAAAAAAAAAATTATTTAGCAAAAATAAATTAAAAAAATTAATTTGCTTCTAGGGGCGCTTGCAGGGGAGTGGGGGTGCCCAGAGAAGGCAAAGCCTACCTGCAGGGCAGAACCGAGAGCGCCCCGCTCATTGAATGAGAGCCTCGGGGGCAGCAAGACAGGGGCAAAGGGCCACTTGATTAAAATATAAAGAAAAAAGCCACCAGGACTCCACAGGGAGCGGGGCGGGTGCAAAGAATGTGCTCAGACAAGTCCTAGAAGAGGAAATACGAATGGCCAGTAAATCTGTGGGAAAGAGTCCAACCCCGCAGCAGTAAAAAATAAAAAAATCTAAAACAACAAAATGATACTATTTTGATCTATCACATTACCAAAGGTTAAATAATTATCGAATCTCTCATGGGCCCTATGGAAAAAAAGGGTAGCCTCCAACACTGGTGAAGAAAGTCCGCGTTTCTGTAAAGCCAGTACGTTTCAAGAACCTTAAAGGCACAGGCTCTTTGACTTAGTGATTCTAGGGCTGACTGCTGTCAGGAAATAATGAGAGAGGTGGTCAGAGATTTAAATACAGGGCTTCCAGTGCAGCTGTATATGCGATCGTAGAAAACCACACAACCTTAAAGGTCCAAGAATCGGAGACTGAGAAAGTGACGACCCGTACCCCAGGGGTGAGGGCTCAGAGGACATGGAGCCTTGTCGAAGCTTTGCCACAGGTCTCTGTGGCTTTACCCACGGCCCACCCCATCGTCAGAACAGCACCTGGCACTGAACAGGCCCTCAGCACATTGTGGGTGAATGAGTGACTGAATGGATGATGGATGGCGTACATATTATGCAAGGATCTAAAATGACTTTTACAAATGAATGTAATAAGAGGGAAAATGCTTACAGTGGAATTTAAGCGAAAAAAGATTCATCTCTCTGTATACAAATATCTCAAATATGTTAAAACACAGACACACACAACACCAACTCGAAAAAGAGTTGGAAGGAAATACACTAAAATGCTCGTCGAGATGATAGCTGAGCAGTGGGATTATAAGAGACCTTTATCTAATTTTTCGCCAGTGGGGCTATATTGCCTTTAAACCAAGAGAAAAGCAACCAGGAATCTTCAAAAGTACAGCTCTGGTTTGGGGTGGGAGGCATCTGGGAAACGGTCCCCAGCACAGCCCCTACCTGGGGGTCCTTGAGCCGAAGCAAATCTGGCTTCAGGTAATAGATGATACCTTCGTAGGCTCCGGGAAGGGTTATGCCTCGGATGAGGAGGATGATCAGCATCAGGTAGGGAAACGTGGCTGTGAAATAAACAACCTGGAGGGGAAGAGGACCCGGGTCACCCCTGATGGGGGCACGGATGCCAAGAGGTGCCAGAGAGTGTGCAGTGGCCCTCCGGTCACCACTCCCCAGGCAGCATGAGTCACACCTAGCTCAGTGTCCGACACCTGCTTAGAGATGCTGAGAGTGCGTGAGCACCTTCAGCTCTCCACATCTCCCTCTACACGTTCCAGTGGGTCTTGGGCGCCCTGGCAGGCAGCCTGTGAGATAAGCATCAGCAAGGCAAGGAGGGAACAAAGACAGGGAGAGGACAAGCTGTCAGCCATAACATTTCAAAGACTATTTTAGAATCCAGGGGGGGGCCTGGGAGGCTCAGTCGGTTGAGCGTCTGACTTCAGCTCAGGTCACGATCTCGCAATTTGTGAGTTCGAGCCCCACATCAGGCTCTCTGCTGTCAGTGTGGAGCCTGCTTTTGATCCTCTGTCCTTTCCTCTCTCTGTCCCTCCCCCACTCACTCTCTCTGTCTCTCTCAAAAATAAATAAACTTAGGGAAAAAATAGAATTGAGGCACCTAGGTGGCTCAGTGGGTTAAGCGTCTGACTTCAGCTCAGGTCATGATCTCACGGTGAGTGGGTCGAGCCCTGCATCGGGCTCTGTGCTGACAGCTCAGAGCTTGAAGCTTGCTTTGGATTCTGTGTCTCCCTGTTTCTCTGCCCCTCCCTGGCTCACTCTCTCTCCGTCTCTCTCTCTCTGTCTCAAAAATAAATAAACATTTAAAAAAAAATAGAATCCAGAATCTGGTCTCCCTTAATCCCTCACCCTAGCTATTTTCCCTATGCCCCCTGGTCAGGGTGGGACCTGGTGAGGGAGGGGGAGCAGATGGGCACAGAGACCTGTGGCAAAGCTTCGACTGTACTTTTCCAGGCTTAGGGTTGGGCAAGCAGCAGTGGCCTGAGCTCTGGGACACAGAGACACTCAGACGGGTCCACTCTGCCCTGACCAAGTTCAGCTCCTTAACCCGCAGGGATGGCAATGTCTGTGTTATTATCACTATTACTAGTTTTATTATTACCACAATCCGGGGAAAGGCAAGACTCCCCACCCCCTCCCCCAGAACAGGCTAATCAGAGAAGTCAGCATTCTGTCTCTTCCTGGGCTTTAAAAAGCATGAAGCATCCACCTTAGATTCCCTGCGTTGGAAATAATGGTTCAAATCTGAACTCTCTCAACACATACAACAAGCCACTGTTGTTCCTTCTTGGCTTAAACCCCCGTGATTACTGGAAACTCACCACCTCAAAGACAGTTCTGTGTGCTAGTTCATACCAAACATTGTCTTCATGTGTTGTTAAACGCGAACAGCAAGTCCTAAAAGTGTGTGATCCTAATTGTGTAATATACACACACAATAGATACAGATATACACAAGCATACTTACAAAGGTAACTAGAAGGCAATGCAGCAAAACATTAACAGGGATTAGTACATCCAAACTGCCACCATGCTGGCTCCAACAGTGATTGGGGGGACTTTAATGTTTCTCATTTTGCTCTGCATGTTACTTATGTAAACAGAGCTTTTAAAGTCATATTGAAAAAGAAAGTCTTTCCTTGAGCTGAGCTAAACTCTTCCTACCATTTCCCCTGCTCTCACTGTGCCTTAAACTACTCTTTCTTTCAGTTCTCCAGGGGGATTCTGGATGTGTCTCCATGGATTCTGGGGTCTGCAGAGAGCTTACCAGGAGCCAGAACACCTCACCTTGCCAGTGGACTTGACCCCTTTCCAGATGCAGAAGTAGCAGATGACCCAGGCGAGCAGGAGACACAGGGCCAGCTCCCAACGCAGGGCCCCCAGGTCGTGGATACCTGAGGTGATGCCCAAAACTCGTCTCCTGGGATGGAAACAATGAATAACCAGGTGAAAGGCTGCAGGGCACAAATTGCCTTTATCTTCAAGTCTCTTGATTCTTAGAGCTGACCCCACACATCTCGGGTTCAAGGCTTCCCCATCCCATCCCCCTGCACCTCCCCTTATGGCCATGCCGTCTTCCCACCTGTAGTCTGCATGCCCCTGGCTGTTAGAAGACCAAATCACGTAATCCCATAGGTATCTTTGTCTTTCTAACCATCCAGCTTTCTCTGTTGTACAGAGAGATAGAGATTGAGAGAGAGAGAGAGAGAGAGAGAGAGGAGTGAGGGTGGTAAATAACATATGGAAGAGTAGATGGAGAGTAGATAGTTATAGATGCAGGCTGTTGCACAGTACATGGATATCAAACAGAGGGGCTGAATATGTTTTAGTATCTAAAGAATGTAGCGAGTCGTGAAATGAATGCACGTAAGCGTTGGTGGACATGTGTGAGGTTTGGGTGACATGGGGATGTATATGTGTGAGGGTGTAGGTAGACACATGTGACTGTTGGTGAATATGTGTAAGTTTTAGGTAAGTGTTAGGGCACAGGTACCCTTGTGTAACAATTAAGGTGGACATATGTGGGCACGGGCAGATGTAAGGGTGGAGTCACAGGGAAGGTGGAGGTATGAGCGTAGGGTTTGCCAATTTCTGCAGTACAAATACTCCCACCTTGGCCAATTTCAAGCCACCGACATGACATCACTGAACCCGAAGTTGGGGAGTGATGTGCACAATCTGCTCTCTTAAGCTGGGGCAGACTATTTGCCCTGCAAATAGTGGGTGGGTGTCAAGGTGGAGGTGGATGCGTGGGGGTGGGGGGGTGGTATGAGGCTATAAGTCGACATGGGTAAACATGTGCGTCTAGGTAGACACAGGTGGACTTGGGGTCATTGTGAGGGTGTAGGTGGACAAGAGTGGGTAGATGGGAGCGTTCCCTCATCACTGGGTGATGTGTGAGGTGGGGGTGGGAGGTGGGTAAGTGCCGGGGAGCATGTGTAGAAAGGCTTGAACTTGTGCTCCCAAGTCCCAGGACTCAGACATCCAAATTTCCTGCTTGGGTCCCTTAGCACATGGCATCCAAGCCCAACACCTACTCCCAGAATTCCATGACAGGTGAAGTGAAGTTCTCAGATGGGGTCGCTGTGTGGGCTCCTGAGTGGTTCAGAAAGTCCATGCAATGCTCTGTTGGGAATAAGGGGGGGGGGGGGGCTGTGTGTCAGCTAGGGACCAGATGGGGAGAGACCCCCTAGTGTCCCTGCCCTCTGACCTTGCAGCCCAGCACTCCTCACCATTCCCAGTCCCAAGAGCTTCCCCTGAAGCCCCCCATTTCCTAGGAGTTGGCTACTCAGGTGGTTCGTGGGACCATGTGCCTCCCTCCACATGTGCCCCACACTGCTCTTGTTCCAGTGAATCTGGTTGTTTCTCTGGCCAGCCCGCCAACCAGCGTCTGACACAGACCTTGGACCCCCTCTGTCCGCACAACTTACCCACCCTCTCCCCACTCAGCAGATAAATGGACTGAGTCTTCGTGCCTGCTCTTCCCCCCCACACGGCATATGCTGTTCACATGGTGGGTTCCTTCTCATCCTTCAACCCTCAGCTAGCTCTTTCCCTCCCACTATTGTATAGTATCTGCAATGTTTCTTTCACCCACGGCAATTTGTAATTGTTTCATTGACTTGTCTCTTTCTACCACTAGGCTGTACATTCAAGGAGGGCCGGGGCCATGTTGCCAGCACTCACCCTTGGATCTCTAGCACCTGGCACAGAGGGAGTGAGGGTATAGAGGTATATCCCTTGCAGTTAGAGAAAACATTCACACACTTGTTGGGATTGGGTTCTGCTAGTGGGAACCTAGTCTAGGCTCCCACGGAAGAGCCCACAGAGCTTGGCTCTGATGCAAGTTCCGCTGTGTGCTCCGTCATCGTCCGCCATCCCCAGCCACCATAGGCCCAGCCCCTAGGGACAGGCCCCCTCCCAGGGGCTGAAATGATAGATACCTGTGTTCCAAGTATTGGTACAGGTTGTCCAGGGCAGCTCAGAGGCGAAGGAGCTGAACAGATAGAAGAGAGCCCAGGCGAGGATGATGATGTAGTAGATGTTCAGGTAGGACTCGATGACCACCGACGCCAGCCCAATGCCTTCGGGGGTGGGGCAGGCACGGGAGCAACACATAGAATACAACAGATCAGTATGAGCCCAACAAAGTCACAGGGAAGCTGCCAGCTGTGGCGAGAAGGACATTGGGTACTAAATGAACACAACACCCACCGCCTGTCTGTTGGCCTCAGAAGCCACTTATAGCATGTTTTTCTTTTTAATATTTTTTCTTTTTTAACGTTTCTTAAATTTATTTTTGAGGGAGAGAAAGACAGAGCGTGAGCAGGCGAGGGTCAGAGAGAGAGGGAGACACAGAATCTGAAGCAGCTCCAGGCTCTGAGCTGTCAGCACAGAGCCTGTGCAGGGTTCAACCTCACAAACTGCAAGATCATGACCTGAGCCAAAGTCGGAAGCTCAACCGCCTGAGTCATCCAGGCGCCCACGGCATATTTTTCTAAGTAAGAAAAGCAGGTTACAGAATACCATCATAGGCATTCTTCTATTTTTGCAACATATATTTGAATGCATTTTCCCCCCTAATGAGATAAAGTCTGGAAGGATCGTCATCCAAAAGTTAACAGTGTTGTCTAGGTGATAGGATTTCGGCTCACTTTTTAAAGTTCCTTTTCCTTTTGTCCATCTGCATTTTCTAGTTTTTCTGTGACGACCATGCGTTACTTGTAAAATGAAAAGAGACTGGAAGAGCAAGGTAGTATGGAAATTTTGGTAAGAATCAGTCTCAAGTGCAAGAACCAAAAGAACCCAGCAAAGAAAAAAGAAAGAAGCGGTCGCTGGCTGTCAAGAACCCTGGAGTGAGTCAGTCTCCAAATGCCACCTCGCTGCAGAGCGAGGGGTAGAGAGTCAGCAGAGGTGTGAAATGCGCGCTCTCGTTCTCACACCCGGGAGAGCCCGAGGCTGGCTGGGGCGCCCTGTCAGGGGGGGGGAGGGAGGGTGCACAGGGCAGGCGCGGCCTCCTCCCACCCAGCCCCGCGTGCTCCTGCAAACGTGGGATCTTTTCCACAGTAATTTTAAAAGTAGCACATTGCCAGGGCGGCGGTTAGTCCCGAGGTGTGAAAGCCGGGCGGAGGGGCAGAGCGCCGGCGCGTTTTGTCCTGCGTCCCGGCCGCGGCGGCGGCTCGGGGGAAGCCCGGGCTCTAGAACCGTTTAAGGAAGGACAGCACAGCCCCAGGGCAGGTCGGAGAATCAATGCTGTCAACAAAACCACCCCTGGGCCAGGCGGGCCCACCCTGATTGTCCGTTCCCGCTGGCCCGGCCAACTCCCGTGTTTTCCTGCATCTGGGTCTCCGCAGAGCATCCAGGCGTTGGGGGCTGGGAGCCCTAAAGCGACCGTGGCCGGGGCAGCTTGGACCTCGGGAGGGGCGGTGGCTGGGGCTGCCGATGGCGAGGGGGGTCCCCGGGGAGGCCGGGTGGCGGGGATATTCAGAGCGCGCACACAGACGCCCACACACCCAAACAAGCGGCCACTGTGCGGCCACTCGCCGCCGGAACGCGCTGTGCTCCCACCGCCCGCCCGTAAACACCGACCTGACCCAGGAGGAGGCAGGGCGCCAGGCTGGGGAGGGGAGGCGCCCCTTCGCTGAGAGGAAGCTTGTGCCTGGGTGTAAATTGAGGAGGGAAGGTGGGTGCGCACAGGGCGTGCATAGGCTCGCTGGGAGGCTGGACTGCGCACTGGGCACAGTCAGACAGTAGCAGCCTGGACCCTTCCACCAGCATAGGTGCACACACCTTGAATGGGCCCCTTCCTGAGACTCCAGGCCTTGGAGGCTCTTCAGCTTGGAAAAGAAAGGAGCAGCAATGGCTGCCCCCAGCCCCCATCCGATGCTCAGTCTGCTCCCCGAGGTCTGTGGCGACCGGTTTGGAGAGTTAGTACATGCGTGCCAGAGAGGCCAGCCCCCGCTTTTGGCACCCATGAGCTCACTTGGACCTTGGGACAGAGCCCAACTGGCTGGGACATTAGGCTGCGCTGGGATCTAGAGCAGAGCACTGAGAAGCTCTGCGCTCTGGCTGAGGCCACTGCACCCCTGGAAGATGGGAACTCGCCAGTAGAAATGGATGTGGGCCAAGCTTCTCCCTGCCCCAGCCCCTCACTGCTGCCCCTACAGGGGCCCCATGCATGCCCCAAGAGCAATCAGTACCAGACCAGTCTTGCACCTCAAGCAAACCCCCAGTCAGTGGTCTGAAGCCAGTGTTTCTCTGCCATGTCCACCTCTGTGCAGCCTACCAAGCTGGGCAGTAACCCCAGACAGCCTAGTCCCTGGGCTCCCTTAGAGACTGACATGAGGGAAAAGAGTCCTCTCCTCATTTCACATACACAAGGAACCTCTCCGAGACAAGGGTTAGGTTTCCCACTGGCCTCTGGGGGACTGGCCCAATCAACTAAAGATGGTCAGGAAGGCCACCCCAAGCTGCTCACTCTAGTGCCAGCAAATCCATGGAGAGAATAGGAGCTGTCCCTAACCTAATCCCTAACGCAAGAAATAGCATGAATTTTCAGCCCAGGGGGGCCTGCATTCAAATCCTTAGTGAATGCCCTCATTGTCTCATATACAAATAACTAAGAGAGTTGTTACTGGAGGATTCGATGAGGAAATGCATGTAAAGTGCTTACATGAGCCCTAACACATAGCAGGGCTGAGCAGATGTCAGACGACATCATCACCATCATCATCATCATCATCATCATCATCATCATCATCACTATTGTTATGTCCTCCCAGACCACGCCATGTACACAGGAACAACTTTCCAGGAAGCTGATGAGGGCATGAAGGCGAAGCCTCAGGATTCCTCCTTTTTAAGGACCCCTCCCAAGGCTCCTCAATCTAACTTTTCACTTGTAATTTTATACCCTCTTTCTTCAGGAGTGCCTTCCTCCCCAGGATCTATAAGCTTCGGGCCCCACAAAGTCTGGCGACGCTTCCTGTGTCCTCCACAGCACTTAGCACAGGATGAGAGTAGATGCATACGAAGTGGTGGTCCCGAAGGAAAGGGGAGCGGCGATGGAGGCATGGATGGAGGCGCTGAGAGCCCTAGTAGCAGGGCAAATGGGAGCACTCACCCTGGAGCAGGGGGCAGATCTTCCTCCAGGCTGTCACGCTGCCTTGGCTGGTGTACTGGCCCAACGCCACCTCCAAGAAGAACACCGGGATGCCACAGGTGAAGAAGAAGATGAAGTAGGGGATGAAGAAGGCTCCTGTGGGAGAAGGAGGTAGGAGCTGAGCCCTCAGTCCTCAGAAACCGGCGCCCCAGTGCTCGTCACCCCTAATATCCCTCCTCACCCTCCCACGGGCCCAGGTTGGCTTCCTCCTGTCTGCGAGCAGGGACGGGCAGAAATTTTCCAGTCTGAGCCCCACTCAGCATAGGAAAGACCTCTGAAGAGGAATGAGTGAACATTTAGGTGGAAATCCTAACAGACACACTATTTATTTTCTCAGTGTGCTTCACGAACTTAGTCAGTTTATTATTTTTGGAACAAAAACATGTGTTCCGTATAATTTGATATGCTTATTAAATTATCAAGTTTGCTACATGTTAGAGAAAAACAAACAAAAACACCTTGGAAAAATTATTTTCCCTCTGATAATTTTCAGAGGGGTTTTTCCCTCTACCAGGCTTGGGTCTGAACTGGGGGCCTCCAGACAAGGGCATTCCTCTGCTCAGGTGGATTGCAGGGTCCTCCGATTTCAGCAGCCTTGTGATCGGGCACTGACCGACCGGCCCCCACAGGAGGCCAGGCCTAAAAAGCATCGATAAATTATGGAACTTGAAGACAATCTGAGCCACCAGTGCTCACTTCAGTCACTGAGATAGTAACCTCACCTCAGGAGTGTATCCGTGGGTGAATGGAATATTGTTTACTGCATAATAATAACACTTAGCACTTATTTGGTGCTTACTGTATGTAAGGCATTCTTGTAAATGCTTCACCAACCTCAAAATCCGCAATAGAACCACCTCCCATGGGGTAGGTAGTATTGTTATCCTCATTTTACAGATGGGAAAACTAAGACACAGGTGAGGAAACTGAGACACAAATTCGGGTAGTCTGATCCTGAGTCTGTGCTCTTTTTTTTTTTTTAAATAAGAGAGAGAGCTCGAGTGTGAGCAGTGGGGAAGGGCGGGGTGGGGGAGCTCAAGTGTGAGCAGGGGAGAGGGGCCGAGAGAGAGAGAGAGAGAGAGAGAGAGAGGAAGAGAATCCCAAGCAGCCTCCACAATCAGCATGGAGCCCAACGAAGGGCTCAGTCCCCCAACCCTGGGATAATGGCCTGAGCTGAAATCGGACAGTCAACCAACTCAGCCGCCCAGGCACCCAGAGCCTGTGCTTTTAACCACTGCGTTATAAGACCTCTCAAGTAACCCACATTACTTTGTAGATAAAATAGAAAGAGCAAAGGGGAAAAAACATTGTATACCCTTTCAAGTTTTTATACAAACACACACACACACACACACACACACATTTTTTTTACAAAAATGAAAACCTACTATATATTACTTGATAATGATTTAAAAACATAGCAAGAACCTATGATCTCAATAAATACATATGTCATAATTTTAATGGCTGTAAATAGCCCACCTTATGCATCTGCCCTAGTTTATTTCATCAGTACGTCCACTGGCGTTCTTGCTGTCCATATCCTTGCACACGTGTCTAATTTCCTTCTTAGTAAATTTCCAGTAGACAGACTGGTAGGTCAGAGGGTATGCATATTTTTTTGTGGTCAAATATATATAACATGAGTTTTACTTTTAACCATTTTTCAGTGTACAGTTCGTGGCATTAAGTACATTCACATGTTATCCGACCATCACCACCATCAATTTCCAGAGCCTTCTCATCCATCCCAGTCTGAGAATCTGTAGCCGTTAAACAGGAACTCCCTGTCCCCTGCCTCTCCCCAATGCCTGGTAACCACCATTCTACTTTTTCCCTGTGAATTGCTATTCTAGACACCTCATAAAGAGGGATCATACGCTACTTATGCCCTCAAGGTTTATCCATGCCATCTTAGGGCTGAACAGTATTCCCTCTTGTGTCCACCACATGTTTATCTATTTGTCCACTGAGGGACATTTGGGTTGTTTCCACCTTTGGGCTTTGAACATTTTTTTTAATGGTTATTTATTTTTGAGGGAGAGAAAGAGGGGAGGGGCAGAGAGAGACGGGGGGCGGGGCAAAGGATCTGAAGTGGGCTCTGCGCTGACAGCAGAGCCCGACGTGGGGCCCAAATCCCTGAACTGTGACCTCATGACTTGAGCCGAAGTAGGACGCCTAACCGACTGAGCCACCCAGGTGCCCCGGGGTTTGAACATTTTTTTAGGGTCTTTGACATGCATTTCCAAATCGCCCTCACAGACTCTCACACCAACCTGCACTGCCAGTAGCGATATGTGAGAGCGAGGGAGAAGGATTTGTGAGGCTTCTGGGCCCTATGGCGCCATAACAGCCAGTAACTCTGCAAGTCCTGACGTCCTTTGGAACTCCAGGTTTGCCTGTACATCCTGAGTACTACTGGAACATTCCTGAACCCAGTGCCAGTACCATCGCTGACTCCAGTCTACGGGGCTTAGGTGGCTGAGGGGCAGAGTTCGGGCTGGGGGCTCTCCCAGAGAGCACTTTCCCGAAGTCTGGTCTGTGGTGGCCTATGGCCCATGGGCCCCCTCCTCCTGGCTGTGTGGAGGTCCTTCTCGCTACTGAAGGAGACAGTCTCAGCTCTCCCCTTGGCATGTAGTCCTCGGCCCCACGAAACCTGGGGAGAGCTCAGGAGGCCTGGCTGGGCCGCCGTCAGCCCGAGTCCACCCTGGAAGGGCAGGGCCGGGCCTGGGCCGTGGCCAGTAGTGGGAGGAGGCAGGTTCTGGATCGCCTGCAGGAACATGTGCATCCTTGGCTTTCTCCCTGGGTTTCCAACGCACTGTCTTTGCAAACACCCTCCCCTCTAATGAACTTCTGAGAATGCTCACATGGGGAGATGGACCTCGTCCCCATTTCTCTTGGCCCTTGCCCAGGCTCCGGGCATCAGTGGCCTGATGATGCCCCACAAGGATCTGGGAAGACAGGGTGACTTGAGATGTGTCTGTAATCTCCCCCCCTCTGCTCTAAAGTAGGCCTTATTACCTCTGCCAAGCACACGCTCCCGAACCACTGACAAGCTGGAAACTCAGAAGTCCTTAAATTCTCTTTTGAAGTGAACTGAAGATGATCTAGTTTAGTGACTCTCTGCTTTTCTGTAACCAAAGACATTATTACACCAATAGCATTATTATTTTTCATCCCTTTGGGAAGATTTTTCTCTACAAAACTATTTATTAACTAATAATAATAATTATTTATTAAGCAATAAGGCTTGATTAATATATCTGTACAAACTATATTTAACTGCTAACTAAGAGTTATGGTCAGCTTGAGATAAGCCCTATTATCGCAATGAGTTAGTACAATTCTAGCTTAAAGCAAAGAGCTGACATTCGAGTTGGTCTGTGAAGTCAAGTTCCCACACGGATCCATTATGAAGTTGTCTGCAGTGAGGAAACCTGTGTTACTACTTTCCTAGACCCCCACAGACCAGTGACCTCAGATCGGGTCCCCTGACCTTGCTCAGTCCCTCGTGTCTTCCCCACATGCTTAGGTTGGGACAGAGCTCAAGGAGAACACAATGGACAGAGAGGAACACAGACTCTGCCCAGGAAAGGTGCCTGGTACTACCTCTTCGCACATGACCCAGGCGCAGCCCAGTGGTACTGCACGCTGCCACAGGTGCTTGTCTTCCCGGGCCGCCCCACGGCCAGAACAGAGGCCACAGCCACAGTGCAGCCACTGGGCGGGACAGCGCGGGCACAGGGAAACCTGTCTCCTGGGCCTGCAGCTCTCCCTCCTTTTCGGATGGCAGGGAGGGGATATGGGAGCCCGGGAGCCGGGTTTCCAGGGCCCGCAGCTTCCAATCAGTTCTACGATCTCAGGCAAATCGCTAAACATTCGGAGCTTCCACGTGCTCTGTAGATGAGCGCTCAGGCTAAATCCTCTTTAGCTGTAGCATTAATGCCCTGTGTGTCCATGAAACTGTCTTGGGATAGTTCAGTTCGTGAGTTCGAGCCCCATATCGGGCTCTCTGCTGTCACCGCAGCTTGCTTTAGATCCTCTGTCCCACTCTCTCCCTGCCCCTCCCCTGCTCATGCCCTCTCCTCTCTCTCTCCCTCACTCTCTCTTTTTCTCCTTCAAAAATAAATATCAAAAAAAAAAAGAAAAAACACAAGCCGCCAGCCCTACCACTTCTTGCTCTGGCCCGTATTGAAACCCAACTCCCAGCCCCGGCTCCCTAGCTCCGATCTGCTAGGAAACCCCGTCTATATGTCTTTGGAGCCATTAGTTCAAGCAGTTTGTAATAATAACTATAAGTTTTGAAACACAGAACAAGATACACAGCAGATACTCAGTAAATACTGGTCAACTTAAATATGAATAGTGTTTAGAAGAATTTTCTAAACAATGATTATTTTGAAATAGGAATGTTTCTTCTTTTTACCTTTCTGGAATGTTTCTAATTTCACAGTACACACATACGATTTCCACAAGAAGATTAAAGGTATTTTCAAAAGGTAAAGATGAATCTGTACTGTCACAGGTTTGGGCACCTGGGTGGCTCAGTCGGTTAAGCATCCGACTCCTGATTTCGGCTTAGGTCATAATCTCAGGGTTCGTGGGTTTGAGCCCTGAATCGGGCTCTGTGCTGGCGGCACAGTTACTGCCTGGGATTCTCTCTCTCCCTCTCTCTCTCTCTCTCTCTCTCTCTTTCTCTCTCTCTTTCTCTGCCCCTCCCCCACTCACTTTCTATCTCTCTCTCTCTCTCAAAATAAATAAAAATGTAAAAAAACCAAGAATCATAAATAAATGTCTGGTCATAAATAAATTCATATAAATGAATTCTTCCATTTGTATGAAGAGTCCAAGTAGGTAAATCCATAGCCCCAGAAAGTAGATTGCTAAGGGCTGATCTAGTAAGATTGTGGTTGCCAAGGGCTGGCGGGGACACAGAATACGGTGGCTGCTTATAGCTCCAGGGCTTCTTTCTGGAATGATGAAGATATTCTAAAATCAAATGTGGTGATGGTTGCACAATTCTGTGAACAGACTAAAGCCACGTAATTGTACATGTAACAAGATGAATCTGGTCCCTTCCCACCAGACCCCTACTCATTGTCACTACCAGTGCTGAAAAATAATAACATTAATGTTCCTTCCATTTAAAAAAACAAACCCCACAAACAAGGAAATATCATCTCTGAGATCAACTTCTTCAATGGTTCCCATCTCACTCAGAGCAGCGGTTACAAGATGGGAGCCTGTAACCTCTTCCCTTACGCTGGCCCTGATCTGTCTCTGCCCTCCTCTTCAAACATGCCAGACGCACTTTCACCCAGGACCTTTGCACTCGCTGTTCCCTCTGTTTGGAATGTTCTTCCCACCTGACAGCCGTCCATAAGACTCACTCCTTTTCCTCCTTCAAGTCTTTGCTCAAATGTCACCTCTTCAACAAAAGCTTTGCAGCTCACCTAGCTTCACGTTTTCCGCCCCAGCCTCCCCCTCCAACGACCCAGCCTTTCCTACCCCTCTTCCCTGTTTTTCTTCTCACCATTTGATACAACTCGCCATTCAACACACCACGCATTTTACTTATTTGTCTGTAACCTGCCACCCTGCACTGGGAACATGTTCTGTTTTGTACCTAGAACAATGCTCGGCACGGGATAGGACCACAGTATAACCAGCCAAGTGACTAAATCCCATCAGCCACCGACACTGTACAGAGTCGTGAAGGATTGCTAGTCGTATATCTTACTAGACACTCAGATTCCTTGGCCTTGCCCATTACCTCATTTAACCTTCACCGGAGCCCTGGGAGGCATCATCCCATTTCACAGAGGAAGTCACTGAGGTGAAACTAGACCTCTCAGACCCGAGCCCTCCAACTCCATGCCAGCCTCCTTCCGTTTTGCCGCATCGCCAGGCAGGCGGCGCCCAGGTAGGCACTGCCCGGCAGTCAAGCCACAGGTGTCCCCACCATGCCTACCTCAGAATGAACTCACCACCTCCATTTTTGTAGCAGAGATAGGGAAACCTCCAGACATTGCCCAGCCCAATGATCTCCCCGGCCACTGACAGCACAAACTCCATCTTGTTGTTCCATTGGCCCCGGTCCTTCACCTGGTGGTCGCCTTCCGGGCTCAGCTTCTCTCCCTCCTCAGGGAGCCAGGAGACCACAGGAGGCCCGTCTTCGTGGATTGCCACTTTTCCGTCCATAGCCACGGGAGAGACGGGGAGGCCGCGGAGCCGGGAGTGGGCAGGATGGGGAGACAGGCCCCGCCTGGTGGGAGGAAAAGGGGTGAGTCGTGCACCCCCAGCACGCGCCCCACCCCCCCTGCTTTCTCCACCCTCGCCTTTTATCGTCACTGGGACATCGCCATTACAATAGCTCCTGTTGTCGGAATATTGTTTAATAGCGTCGCGCTGTTGGTTTTCTTCCCGAACTCCTGATGACTTTTACACATGAGGCTACACTTTGCTCTCATGACTCAGAGACCAAACAGGGAGCCCATCTTAGTTTGTCCGTTTTGCAGATGGAAAAACCCAGGCCTCCACTGATGGAGACCACGCAGGAATAGACTAGGATGAGAAAAGCTCGGGGTCTGTTATTCCGAGTCCCTGTTGAGCTTTACAGGCAGCCACCATGCCCGCTGGCCCATCTGCCCGGCTCCACAGTGTCCGGTGAGTGGCACCAGCCTACTCTGGCTTCCAGGCCAGAAGGGATCGAAGCCTGCCAGGGGTGATAGGAGGTCAAAGGGCAGGTGTGGCCTGGGCGCCTGCATGGTCTTCCCCCAGCCCGTTGTGTGCTCGCCCCTGTGCCAGGGCATTGATCGGCTCAGGGTAAACATGGGAGCCAGCTAGCCCTGGGGTCTGATTGGGAGGGAAGGAAAAGGTGGGGCCTCTGAGCAAGGCCAGGCGAGACTGGGAATCAGCACCAGGACCGAGCACAGACCTTCGAGGGAAACCTGGCTCCTCTTCTCTCCATCCTACCTCTGTCCTGATTACAAGCAAGGGGTCCTGGTGGGAGGTCCCAGAGCGATTGTCACTTGGGGAGTGGTCATCTCCAGGTCAAAGTGGTCCGCTTGCGGGACACCCAGAGGTAGCTGCCCGTGACAGCAGGTGCCTGCTGTCCTAAAGAGCCCAAAGCTCCCTGGACTGCCAGAAAAAATGACGTGGTCGCTCTCAGCTTTACTCTGTGCCTATCATCATCCGTTTGTCAACCCCTGGGAGATAAATTGCAAACACCAGAATCCGTGTTTGCCTTCCCCTGCCCTCCCCTCCACACAGCTGCCCTGAGGCCACCTCCGCCTTGGCTCCCGGAGAGCTGCCGGGAGGAGGTGCCCAGCCTCCGGAGGGAAGCGCCCACCCACTGCCCCTCACCTCCAAGGGGCGCTGGGGGAATCAAAGTGACCAGAAGCTACCAAGTGCTCATGCCTCCCCAAGGCTCCAGAGAAACACAAGGGATTCTTTTTACTAAAAGAAGTGTCTGTGTTTATTTGTTAGTCCTTTTAACCCAGGCAACAGCCCAAGCCGAAGTCAGTTAAAAAGGCGGGGCAGGAGCCATTTGAGGTTATGGAAATTTTTGAAGGTGACTCGGAGGGTACAGGTTATCCCAGGAATGGGAAAGCCTGGCGGGGTGAAATTCTGGTATGGGGACCCAGAGGTTTCCACGGCAAGCTCAGCCCAGGAAGGAAGATGAGGACAGAAGCACCCAGGGGAAATCAGAAGTCCTTAGCCTCTGAAGGAAGGGACGAGCAGGGAAGGGAGGGGGGGAAGAGAGCTTCCAGGTCCAGAATAGCCTGTCAGACCTCAGGAGGTGGGCTCTGAGAGCCAGAGAGTCAGGTGGAAAGAACCGGGCAGTCTGGCCCCAGGGGGAACAGCTGGCGTTACCTGAACCAACTAGATAGATATTGTTCCATATGGCCCCCGAATCATTGTCAAACAAATGAATGGATGAGTGGAGGAATAAATGAATGAATTCAAAAATATTCACGAAAAAGGACCAGATGGAAAACCCAAGTTCTGGTCCAGACCTAGCCAATAATAATATTAATAAAGGTTAATGTTAGAGTAATCATTGTGCCAAACACATACACTTCTTTATATACGTTACTAAATCTCATCTTCATTAAAATCTTTGATGTGGGTATTACTGTTAACTCCATTTTATAAATTAGGAAATGAAGCTCAGAGAGATTAGGGAACAGGACTTGACACCCACCAGGTGTTCAGTAAAACTATTTTTGAATGATTTGAATAAACTTACCAATACACTACTCAGTGGTGGAGCTGAGTCTCTAACTTGCTGTGTGACCTTAGGCAAATCACACCTCCTCTCTGGGCTTTAAGTCTCCCTGGAAGAAAGAATGATCTCTGTTCAACAAGGGTAATGGGAGGGTGGAGGATAAAAATGGGATCCATGAAAGACAAGGAGAGATTAATGCCTTTGCTTGACAAGCCATCGTGTAGCTCAGCTCAGGGTGAGCCCAAGCACACAGGTCACCAAGGGGGGTGGTCAAGGAACAAGGCTTCCTGTTCCCAGACCAGAAGCAGCTATTTCAGGGCCCAGCTGTCCTCAACAGTTGAAGGAGGGGTGACCTGCTAAGGTAAAGGAGTAAATGAAGGGAAAACCAGCGGAGAGTGCAGGACAGGGGAGCGAAGCTCAGAGCCTGGCTCAGACCCAGGGTTTGGGTTGCATCGGGATAGGGAGACAGAGGCCAGAGAACATGCGCTGATGAGCTGATACCGATGTGACATGCTTTTTTTTATTTTTAAAGGTTACCAGGAAGATCATAATTTGTGTGTTAGAATGAAAAACCAGAATGGCAGAATGAGAGCAAGAACATGTGAGAAGAAAAGCTGGCCCGAAGCCACGGTAAAGTCAAGGGGAAACAGGCTTATGGTGCAGCAAGTGCGATTCAAGTTAGACTCAGGGAAGAAATGTCAAGGAGGATGTTAGACATAAAAACGAGCCATTTGGAGCTCTCCTTCTGGGATTACTTTTAAAAGCCAAGGGGACGGCACACCCCACATTTCTGCCCCCCTCTCCCCGTCCCCACTGTACCCTTCTATCCCCAGCCCGTTTGCTAGGAATAAACAACAATGTCATCCACAGTGGAGATGACTTCCAGAGATCCCCCTCCTTCCCAAGGGTCCACCCAGCTCCGCCGGCTCTCCAGCCCCTCGCGCCACCTTCCCGCCTCCGCTAAGCTGGAGCAGGGCACGGGGCACGGACTGAAGCTCACCGTGCGTCAGCGCCCTCCAGAAGCAAGGACACCTAACCCACACTGGGCTCAGTGCTGCCCATCGAGGAAATCTTCAAGAGACCTAGCAAGTCCAGGATTAACTCTTTTCAGGAGCTGGGCATGGAGACAGAGACCTGGCCGGGGTCTGGCAGAGGAGCAGACAGGTGGAGAAATGCCACTCCCCACGTGCTGCTGGGGTCCCAGCCCAGCCCTGTCACCCTCACGGTCCAGCCCCGGCCCCGGGGGCCCAGGATGCCCTGGCCTCCGCTGCGGCCCACACCCACATACCAGTTCCCTTTTCCGCACACACACTGGTGCCGTTCCCGTCACGTCCCTTTGCACACACATACCTGTGTGCATGGCACCAAGACCTGACTCCGTCTAGCCCTTCACACCCTGGGGGCTGCTTGCTTCAGCTGGTGGCCCCCTGCACCTCCCGGTGGCCTTTCCCAGCATAAGTACGCTCATGCCTCCCCAGCGCCCTGAGCTGGGGCCCCGCTTCCTCCTTCTGGGAGGCACTTGCTCCCTGCCTGCCCTGCTCGACCCATGGGGGAGGGCAGAAACCCCTCATCTGCGTGGCTAATTGCAGGGCCTGGGTCTTTAGGAATGCCCAAGCTTCCTCCAGTCTGCTCTCCCTTCCCACCTCGCTGGGCACTGTCTGTTTCCCTTCCCCGTCAGTCAGGTGACCACCCCCTGCCCCCCCTTCCCCGGGGCCAGCACCCCATCTCTGCACTTTCCCCGGGCTCATCCATGAGGGTGGTTTGGGGAAGCTGGGCTGACGCCCCTTGTCCTGAGAATCCCCAGCATCAGACTTCCCTCCAGCCCCAGGTTTTTGTATCACCGACACACACACTTCTGCAAAGGCTTGCCTCCTGGGACCCAGCCCTCCAGCCCCTCTGCCCCCTCAGGGCCTGCGAAGGCATGTTGAGTCCTCCCGCTTCCTGCTCACCTCAGTCCAGCTCAGCTCCATGCCTCAGGTCCCCAACGTCCCCAGGAAGTCGCTTGCAAGAATACCCAGACAGACGGGACCTGAGAGGGAAAGTGTCCTCCCCCTCTGCTCTTTTGAGTTGTTGTCCTGGGACTCCCAGACAGAAAGCAGCTGTGTGTGTGTGTGTGTGTGTGTGTGTGTGTGTGTGTGTGTGTGCGCTCACACACACCAGTGTATTGGGAAGTGAAGGGACAGAGAAATACCACAAGCAACAGGAGGGACTGAAGCCAAAAGTTTGTGCACCAGGATTACAACATCCAACTCCAGGAAGCCGAGTCCTCTGTCCCCAGTCCCCCACCCCCCTCTGCCTCCTGCTGTGGGCTCCCCCTCCCCCACACCAGCCCTCCCAGTGGGTGCTGTCCCAAGCCAACCCCTCCAGACTGGCTCAGAGACTCACACCCGACCTCATTTCCCTCCTTTCCTTCATCCCTCCCGCCTTCTCCCTTCTCACCGTGGGTCTCCAGGACCAGCTTCTTCGGAGGGAAGAGGTGAGGCTGTGCAGCACAGGGTGCAGCCTTCTCTTGCCAGAGGAGTAGGATGGGAGCCACCGACCCCACGCTGGAAGTGACAACCAAAGGAGGGGAGGTGGCCTCGCTGATGAGGGCTCGGGAGGAGGGTGAATCACGCCCTGGAGTTTTCCACCGAGTACCTGCCCTCTGTGGTTTCAAGGCAAGGCTCTGGACCTTCACAACCACTACCCTATTCCTTGGGATTTTCCTAGAGAAAGTGCCCACACATACTTCAAGAAACCTAATCTAGAGAGGTCATGGGCTTACAGTCAAACAGACCTGCATTTGAGCCCCTCCTCTGTTCTACCAGTCAGGGCAGCTAGGCAAGGATCTGAGCCTCAGTTTTCCAATCTGTAAAAGGCACAAAACAGTACCTACCTACTTTTCAGGGTTAAAGACAATATGGTAAATTGCTTAGGATACTGTAGATGCTTAAGGGCAGGTGGGGGGGGTGGTCATGGGTGTTTGTTGTGT